GAGTGGAAGGAGGGAGAGAGATGGATTAGGGGCCCATAGATGCAGGCTTTGTTGTGGCAGGAGTGGGAGCCTTGTGCTTTGAAGGAATGTTGCCCTGTCTCTCCATTTCTCTAATCTGTCCTTTGATCGAGCCAACCCAGTGCTCTGCAACCTGTCATTTGCGGGCATGATGTGACATTGAGACCACCCGAACTCGAATCTCTTCAAGCCATGTGCTGGATAAAGCCCCTTATTACAGTGGAATCAACAGAAACATTTTTCTTAACACGGATGGGATAATGATAAAAACCCCCCCCTTACATTTTCCAGGAATATAGACCGTAGCTGTTTTGTTTTTTACACTATTCTTCTCATGGACTGTGTTCCTGCCTGTTTGGTATTTCCACCCACACTGCACTCCTGTCCAGCTTGTGGGATCCCGTGGGCGGCTAGCTGGTCACTTAGCGAACAGAGTGCTGGATTAGATGGACCCTTGGCCTGACCCAGCACAGCTCTTCTGATGTTCTTTTGTTGGGAAGATGTGCATGTTGATGCCTTTGGGCTGCAGTCCCCTTTCCCCTGCCCTTTCTTGGTGTAGCCCTGATTTTTGTCTATCAGTATAGGCATTTATTCTTCACCTACCTCATAGAGCAAGGAGCCATATTATTTCCTGTGTATATTTAGAGCAATATTTAGGGAGGTACAGAGAACATTCCTTCCCCTGTGCTGCTTTTCTGATCACCTATTTTAAAGTATTTCTGGACAACACGCTCCCACTGGGGGAGCCATATTAATAACGCTGCATTAGTTATTATGAAATACAAGAAGTTAGCAAAACAGGTACTCTTAAAATCCCCTCTACATTGTTCAGCTTTTGGGGGCAGGGACAATCAAATTTTTAAACATATTATAAACCTAAGAGCAGGCCATCTAATCTTGCCTTATCTGCTGTACTCTTCCCACCTCACCTCCTATGTCTGAAACATCCTTGGTCCTTGCCAGGATGCAAGTATAGGCTGACCTGCCTTTTAGAGTTCAAAAAGAAAATTCTCTGGTCCATAGTGCTAACTTTTTAAATTTTATGTTATAAAACAAAACCTAAACCATATATTGAAGAGGATATTTGTTTTTTGGATAAAATGTAAAAAGTTCCATTACACTAATTCAATATATGTTGTGCATTCCTATATCTTTGTATATACAATATAAATAAATATTGTTGCAGAAATATTTATGGTTGTTAAAATAATTAAGCATACATTTTAATAATAGCCACATATTTCTCCACATATACTTATCCATTTGTAAAAAATACCCAGTTACTACTCACTCAGTTAAATTAAATCCTCCACCCTTTGTGTTATTGCAGTTGGCCACTGACCTTTCCAAGGTCGTAATATGAGTCTTGTAAGTGTCAAAAAGGTGCAGAAGAGCCATTTACACTGACCTTGCATTAAATTCCAAGACAAAAGTAGGTAGTTAAGAAGACATGTGCACTGAAAATTAAAGAGCTTTCCCTCACAAAATGTATCGAGCGATGACCTCCTCCCAAAAGGGAGCTGCCACTGGACATTGCCAAATGGAGAAGAGAAGCACCCACAGCACTGCACCCCCAACACCTGGCTAATTTAATCAAGCCCTTATCAAAGAGGCATTCTGGCTGGGGATGCCTGAGGAATCTGTCTTGAGGGTGGGAGGCCACCAGCTTCCCTGGGCTCGTCTCATGGGACTCTGGTCTGCGTTGTCACCAGGAACTGAGCCTTGCTTCCCTCTTCCACACTGAGTGCAGCAGCCTTTGTGCTGGAAGAAGGTAGCTGGTTACGCTGTCTTTGTTTCACAAGTGTTTGGCCCTGTCACTGTCTAAGACAGGGCCAAGCCCAGGAGGAGTTCCACAAATGCTTCGGCGAATGGGGCGACATAGAAGTCCTCTAAATAAATAAAACAAATAAATAAATAAATGTTAAAAAGATGGATTCCATAGAGCTTTGTTGTAACACTAATTCTGGCATCTAATATGCTCCGAAGATACATTTTTGCTGAATTAATTACAAAGCGTAAATAAGATCTGTTACCCTCTCTGAAACAGATAGCAATGAAGCAAACCATTGATTGGGCAAAATGTAGTGCTCCAGTTCATTATCCCATCGTTGCTTAAGACCCCACCTATCATATTTACTCACTGACAATAAGTATTTATATACATGGATTGTAGGCCAGTGTAGAACTTCGGTCATCAGTTTTGATACAAATGATTAATGATTCTGGATATTAATGTGATGACTCTATTAACTGGTCAATATCTGAACTGATATTGATTGGAGATAATATATTGCAGAGAGTGCTAGCTAACTGGAAATTTAGATTTTGCGCTGAGTTAATTACAGTACTTATTGGAAATAATTGTCCCTAAAGATGTCCCACTTAATGGTTAAGCTAGACTTAAGTTGATTAATGAGGTCTTGAGGGACATGGATAGACAGGAATCCTTAAAGCTAAGTCTGAAGGAGAGAGTAAATGCACTTAAAATGAATGCAATTGCTCCGACAGTTTATATTTTTCATTCTTCCTTTCTTTAAAGCTTTTCTAAACTGTTCAATGAACAACAGCTCTCAGAATGGTGTACAAGAATTAAAACACTCTAAAAACAAACTAAAATAGTTATACATACATTATCAACATGGCAATAGCATTCATTGGGGCATAACATCCTCCAACAATGACAATAATAGCAACAATACATAATGTAAGAATAATAATCACAGAATACCAATGAGCATGTATTAAAATATAAAATCTGATAACATCATTTAACAATTAAAATGTTAGGAAAATAAAAAGGGTTTGACCTGACACCAAAATATATAAAGAGTCAGTACCAGGCATTCCTCCTAAGAAGCTGATTCCACTACTGGGGCGCCACTGCTAAGAAGGCCCTTCCCCTCATAGCTGCCTTCCTTTTAAAAGTGGCTCCTGGAGAAGGAGATGACCTCCATAGATGACCTTAGGGTGCCGGGAGGTGTATAGGGGAAGAGATGCTCCTTTAGATATCCAGGCCCTAAACTTTTTAGGGATTTATACATTAGTGTAAACACCTTGAAGCAGGACTGAACTTTAATTGGTAATCAATGCAGCTGATAAAGAACAGGGCTTATATGTTCATACCTATCCGTCCTGTCAATAGGCAGGGTACCTTATTTTGTACCAACTGACTATTTCTGCACCATTTTTTAGAGCAGCCCCAAGGGCAGCCCCACATAGTGTGCAAAACAATACTCTAAACACAAGGTTAGCAGAGCATGAATTACCATTGCGTGGTATTCCTTTACCTGTACCTGGCAAGTACTTGCAGAAGTTTCATGTTTTGTTTCATTGTTTTTATGGGTTCCACTCTGCCACAAATATGCTTGAAAGGATGCAACTTTCAGCTAACAAGGGTGGATTTAGCTTTCCTGGTATTTCCTTATATCGTGAGGCCTATCTGTTGACTTGCACTAGATGTTGTTTTTATTCCCCCCTCCCTCCCCCACTTAGATTAGATTTCTTTTCCTGGTCTGTTCTGGAATCTTCATGTTTGGATTGCACTGAGTTCTCTTAATTCTAAAATAGATAATGTCCTTCTACAGTGACAGCAGCTACAGAGGTGTGACACATATTTTCACATTAATTGCAGGTAGACTTATTTTCACATGCAAAATTAACTTTATGGGAGAATCCAGATTTAAAGATGGTCCAGAAATGTTTGTTTGGTGGACGTGGCCATATAGGCTTATTTCTAATAAGCTTGTTGGTCCTAATTATAACTTGCTGCCATTTTCCTCTTTGTATGTAAATTATAAATTGTCAGCCATGATTGCATAGTAAGATATCGTCCAGCATCAAATATATTATCCAACAACGGAACTGTTTGCTAGCATCCAGGTGTGGCCTTGCTACGTTACTGCACACCTTCACAGCTGCTCATGTTATTGGAATTACTGGTAGGTGGTCAGTCTTGTCACCCTTCTTGCTACTGCTGCAATCTTTTCAGCAAGGAGGATATGGACGGCCTGAGTGGAGCACCTGCTCCATGTCTCAGCTACAACCCTCCCCTGAAGACAGGTCAGATCCTCAGGCAGCTGCTGAGAGGGGCGGCTGCAGAAGCAAGGGCAACCCAAAGAAAGCTGGGTGAGAAAGGAGAACTTATTTGTCCTTGCCGATGAGGACTGACAAGGGTCAAAAGCTAGAAGGAAAGAGCAAACGAAGGGCTCAAAGTAGCCTTCCTCAAGCTGAAACCTTCCCCTGGCTGGTGTTTTAGACTACAGTTCCCAGCATTCTTGGCCAGTGGTCATGCAGGCTGTGGCTAATGGGACTTGGCCCAAAACATCTGGAGGGCAGCAAGCTGGGGAAGGCTGGATGTGGAAGAAAGTTGCCCTTGTGCTGCTGGCTGCCCATTCAGCACCCAGCTTTCCTTTCTTGGGTGACTAATCCCTTCCTAGCTGGCTGCACGTTTGGGTAAGATAACATCTCCCAAGAATGCTTGTCCATACCCCCACAGGCTTTGGTGCACGGCTGACCCTGCCACTGGGTAGAGTGTGGCAGCCGCCTCAGATGGCAGATTTTGGAGTGCCATGAAAGGACAGCAAGTGGTTGGTGGCGGTGGTAGTCGTGTTTGTACTGCTAGAGCTGAGTTGTCTGCCTCATAGGGGAAAATAACGTGGCTTGCTTTGGGTGCTGCCGCCCTTGATGTGGAGGAGGAGGGCATCGGCTGCTTGGCTGCAGGACCCGCCCTGCGGCTGTGCCCTTCAGTGCTTTGCCATCCCATTGCCAGGAGGAGGAGCCATTGGCTCGCTCTTTCTTAAGACCAGGCTGACTGACTCCAGCCAAGTGAAATCCACACTAAAGAGATGGGTGTCTTTATTCCAGGCTTGCTGGGCAGAAAAGAAACACACCCTACTCCAGATGTCCCCTGCCACTGGCCTGTGTCACAGAGGCCAGGAGAGCTCTGAGGCAGACATATGCAAGGACCTGTGGAGAGCAGTGGCATGGCAAAGAACATTCCTGCGCTAGATGATTCCTTGGTTCCTCCACCCAATGATGCCAAAGGCAATATGGAGGAAGCCTCATCCAGCTCAGAACAGACGGACAGCCACTTTGAGGATGACTCCCCCCCTGCAGCCATGCCTCCAGAAGGAAATGAAATGGTGGATGTCTCCAACCAACCAAAGCAAGAGCAGGACAAGGGCAGTTCTGCTCTTCAGAACAAGATGCCAGATCCTTCCTTGGAGTCACTGAACGTTAATGATACCTCAAGCCTGTTGGCCCAAGGAGAGGAGGCCAGCCATCTTGAGTGCCATGCTGAGATACCTGATGCCTTTTTGGAGCTACCAAGTCATACTGGAACCTTAGCCCAGCTCAGCCAAGGGGAGGAGGACAGTTGTGAGAAGGACCCAGTTGTGCCTGCAGAGGCCCTGGAACCGTTGGAACTTGGGCAAGAGGCAAAAGGAAATCCTCTTGCTGATGATGGGGGTCCCTCAGACATTTCTTCAGAGCAACAGAAATCTGGCAGCAACTCAAGTCAACTGGACATAAGGGAGGAGAGTGGCACTGAGGGCAGCCATGGCCAACCTCCAGGATCCCCAGGACAAGCAGAACTTGCTGGTAGCCCCAAACCAGTAGCCTGCAATGGAGAGAACAGCCCAACCAGTCATGCTGCTGTGGCTTTGCAGGACTCCCCCGGTGAGTCACTTCTTGGGACAGATTCTCCAAAGCAGCCACAGGAGGATGATCATTTAGTCTTCCCTAGCCACCCTCCCAGTTCTGTGGCCTCGAATGAGCTATTCCTTGCTGCCAAGATTAATGAAGACATCAAGCCTGGCTGCCAAGAAACTGCAGGGAGCAGTGAGGAGGAAAGAACTTCCAGTGAGCAGGGACACCTGTCTCTAGCTTCAAAGGAAAAGCAGGGTAACCTGAACAGGGAGATCCCACGGGAGGGCTCAGCGGACAAGTTCCAGGCGAAGGAGGAGCAGTTCACCCAAGACACTCCCTGTGCCCCTGCTGCATCTTCCCTGGCACTGGCAGATGTCGACCAGCAGAGGGCAGCAATCACAGCTCCCCAGGTGCCGGCAGCCCTGCCAACTCCGTCTCCTGTGGCAACTAGTCACACTGACGGACCTGCCCACCAGGGCCTGGCTGCTGCGTGTGACGAGCAAGGCAGGGAAGGGCTGGCTATTCGTGAATCAAGCACAGCCGACAGAGACAAGAGTAAGCTCCAGGGTGAGGCTGGCACCCAGGCTGAGCTGGAATCTGAGAGGGAAGGGCTCGAAGCAACCAGGGACGCGAAGGCTGAGGAAACCGCCAGGCACCTGGAGGGTGCCAAGCATCTCACTGCTGCCAAAGACCCGGAGAAAGAATTGCCTGGCCGAGAAAGGCCGACTGGTGCAAGGGACTCGGCTGGTGCCATGGTTCTGGCAGGTGCTGAAGATCCACTTGGTGCCATGGCCAGAGCAGATCCTCGGGATTTAGCCAGTAGTGCGTATCCAGAGGCTGCTTCAGAGCATGCTGGCTCCCATCCGAATCCCGGCGAGGGGCTGCTGCTCGACCTTAAGGAACCTGCCAGCACTGAAGATCTGGCAAGTGCCGCAGAACCAGCTTCTGCCATGCCTGTTGCTCGAGAGCCCTCCTTGGCCAGCAGCTCAGGCTGGCCCTCAAACCAGGTGGCAAATGTCCCCAGTCATCCAGAGACCCCAATAGAGAGAGAGATCCGTCTACATCTGGAACGGGAAGAGCTCCTGCGGCAGGAAAGGGGCCTGACCCGCTCCCGGGGCACCCAGGAGTATGTGGAGGTGCGCATCAAACCCATCCTGAACCAAAGCATGGTGTCTTCCACACTGCCCAAGGAGAAGGAGCGTCAGCGGGCTGGTGCCCAGATGCAGCGGGAGATCCAGCGAGAGTGCAGGCGCGAAGAGGACCTGGTGCAGCTGGGGAAGGTCAGGGGCGCCTACGACCGCGGCATGCCCCAAGAACTGCAGCAGAAGAAGCTGCTCTTTGAACAGCACTCCAGCCCGGAGTGCCCGGCCTCCAGGAGGATGGTGTGCGGCAGCAACAGCGCCGATGAAGAGACGAGAGGGCCATCATTTGCCGAGGCGAACCTTGCGGCCAACGTGGTCATCCTGAACTCTGGACCTCTGCCACGACCCCGGCATCCCCCACCCGAGAGGACCTCTTCAGCCAGCCCCTTCTTCTCCTTGCGTGCCAAAAGTCCTCAGTCCCTGCTGGAGCAGGAGGTCCAGGAGGCCCAAGAACGGGAACAGGAGCTGCAAAGGCAGAGGTACAACCTGTATGGCTCGGCATTGCCCTGTTACCCAGCAGGGGACTCGGATCAGGAGGAGGAGATGCCTACCCAACCCGGTAAGTGGCAACAGAGCAGTAAAATGATGCATGTATTTTGGAAAGTGACCAGAAGGAACATGAACCTGGTGCCTGGCCTTCCCCAAACCCTGCAGGTTTTAACTCCCATCAGCCCCAGTCAGTTTGATCAATGTTCAGGGTTGATGGGAGTTGTGGTCCAGAATATCAGGAGGGGCACCATGTTGTAGAAGGTGACCTTAAAATGTGTGGTGTGGTGGCAAAAAGCTCACACTCAATGAAATCTTTGGGCAGCAGGCAAAAAACACAAAAGGAAGTCCTTCCTTACCCAGCACCTACTTAACTTAAGGTATTTGTTCCTATAAGATACGCTGTTGGCCATTGGCTTAGATGGTTTCAAAGGGGACCAGGCAGACTTCATTGAAGAGCAGTGCATGAACAACCATTTGCCATCATAGCTAAGCAAAGTGCCCCTCCTGTTCAGGGGCAGTGTGCCTCCAAGTAATGCTTTTAAGATTGGGGTGTGCCCTTCACCCCCTCCCTGCAGGCTCCTCAAAGCACCTGGCTGGCGGTTGTGCAAAACAAGCTGCTGTGCTGAGCAGACCCTTCAGCTAACCTGGCAGAACTTGTGTGCTTTAATTCTGGGAGTTGCTATGCAGTAGCAAAAAGGCAAAGAGTGCTTTAGTACCATAAGTGAGTGACTACTTTATTGTGTGGCACAATTTTCCTGGCAGGAGCCAATTTCACCTTGTGCAGGAAGCGAACTGAGAAAGTTGTACACTAACTTTCCCAACCTGCTGCCCTCTAGATGCATTGGACTGAGACTCCCTCCATGGGGTCAGCACAGGCCTGCATTGCAGGGCTGTTGTAAGATGACTGAAGCAGTATACTCTTTGAATACTCTGAATCATGATCAAGATGCAAAGTGAAGCCATCTGCAATGCATTGCAGCACTTCTGAGAGTGATGTATTGACACTTTTGGTGTTTTCCCAGAGCCAAACTTGACACAACGGTGACTGCTCTGTGTGTTTAAACACCAAACTGCCCCATTCATAGAAATACTCTGTGTGTGTGCACGCACACACAGTTTTAATAGAAGTGATAAAGCAGAACTCTTTCCATCTCAGCTTACTCCCCAGTAGCTTCCTTCCCCATCTTCATTTCACCTTTGCTGAGTCCCAGCATTAGAAGAGACCTTAGCTGGATGAAAAGAAGCTGTGATGAAGGGCTGCTAAAATCAAGGATGCCACTCCTCCAGCACAGTTGAGAGAAGTCTGTGTGTAAGCACGGGGCACTGCCATCAGCCCTCCAGTTTGGTGGTCAGAAGACTCATGAAGGCACATGTACATTCAGTGTTCTGTACACAGGAGGCCTGTACTGGTCTCTTCACTTTACATATCTCCAAATCTCTCTTGCAGATTCCAAGCAGATGCCCACATCTATCAAAAGCACACTGGTTATGTGGGATCATTTATTTATTTATTAAAACATTTCTATGCCGCCCCTTGCCGAAGCCTCGGGGCGGCTCACAACACAAAATAAAATACAATAAAATACAAAAATAACAATATAAAATTAGCAATATAAAATAAATAACAAAAGAAGTCGCCCTGGCCAGATACATAATGATGTAACCACACACCTCTGTGTGCCTTACTCTTTTGGTGGGCTGTCTGCATTCATGAACCTGAAGGAGACATTTATATGCAAATCTGCATGGTACACTGCACACACATGCACAAATCCCATATTTATGTCTGGTGGGCACAAATGTGCATCTGGAAGTACAGACCCAAAAGGGAAGAAGAGGGAGAATCTAAATTTGGTGCCTAGAAAAGTTGACTTTTGTTATTTGGATGAAGTATGCAGATGTACATGGTGAATAATTTGCATAATTCCATATAATTTATTCTGCTATATGTGAAAAAAGCCAAGGGAATATGCTGGGTGCTCCTATTCTGTGTGAAAATCTACCCGGCCAGCTTCTAAGATTTCAGCAGGGATTGCCTACATATTCTCAAGCATAGCTATGCAGCCTTGAGGTCTAGAAACTTGTTTGCTGTTTGACTGCCTGTCTCTGCCACCACTCTGCTTTTTTGGGTGAGGAGTTTCTCAGCTAAGTGCTTGAGAGAAGGGCTGTGGCTGACATGAAGGCTCTGCCTTCATTTCACAAGGACCTAAGAGAAACCCTGCTGGAATGGACCAGGGGTGCCTCTGGCCCAGCATTCAATTCACACAGTGGCTGACCAGCTGCCTACAGGAAACCTGCAAGGAGGACATGTTAATAGGTAATAGCACCTCTCCACCCATGTTTCCTAGCAACAGGTATCATTTGCCACACTGCCTGTAATACTAGAACTAGCACATGGCCATCAGGACTAGTGGTCATTGATCACCTTCTCCTCCACGAATTTTTCTAGTCCCCTTTTAAAGTCATCCATCTTGGTGGCCATCACTTCATCTCATGGCAATGAATTCCATAGCGAAACTATTCACTGCGTGAAGAAGTGCTCTTTTATTATCTGTCCTGAACCTCTCATCAACCAGCTTCATGGGATGACCCCAGAACAGGATTTAGTTTTATTTATTTATTTATTTATTTATTTATTTATTAAAACATTTTTATGCCGCCCCATTCGCCAAAGCCTCGGGGCGGCTTACAACAATAAATAAAACCAATAAGTTAAAATATACATATAGATAACCATAATAATTTAAAACACACAATATAAAATAAGCCGCCCTGGCCAGATAAAATTCAGAGGTATTAACATTTAAAATGTTGCTTAAATAAAAAGGTCTTTGCCTGGCGCTGAAAAACAAATAACGACGGCGCCAGGCGGACCTCTCTGGGGAGCGCATTCCATAACTTAGGCGCCACCGCTGAGAAAGCCCTCCTCCGAGTAGCCACCCTCCTAATTTCTCTCACGGGGGGCTCCCGGAGAAGGGCCTCTCCCGCCGATCTCAGGGGGCGAGTGGGCATATATGGATGTAAGCGCTCCTTCAGGTAACCAGGACCCAAGCCGTTTAGGGCCTTATAGGTCATTACCAACACCTTGAATTGGGCCCGGACTTCAATGGGGAGCCAGTGAAGCTGACGGAGAACTGGAGTCATGTGAACATAACGTCCAGTCCCCGTCAGCAGCCTGGCAGCTCTATTCTGCACCAACTGAAGTATCCGGACCGTCTTCAGGGGTAGCCCCACGTAGAGCGCGTTACAGAAGTCAAGACGGGAAGTCACCAGCGCATGAGTCACTGTTGCAAGGCAGTCGCACTCCAGGTAGGGATGCAGCTGATAAATCAGCCGAAGCTGGAGGAAAGCGCTCCTCGCCGCTGTTGTCACCTGAGCTTCGAGTGAAAGCTCCGGGTCAAGGAGCACTCCCAAGCTGCGGACCTTGTCCCTAGGAGGGAGTGCAACCCCGTTCAGGACAAGGTTCAATTCACCTTCTCCGAAGCCCGTATTAGGGGGGGAAAGAGGAAAATGTCTCCTCTGCCACTTCCACACCATGCATAATCCCATACGCCCCTCCCATGTCTGTTTCCTTGCCTCTCCCTCTCCCAGCCTAATACATGGTGTTGTGGTGTTGTGATTGGAGGGTTGGCGTAAGAGTAAGTAGACCTGGGTTCAAATTCCCAGTCAGCCAAGAAGGTCAGTGATCAGTGGTGAGGATAAGATCAGGGTGTGGGGGGGGGGAGGGGAGGCACCCTGTGAGTTGCCTTCTGTGCAGGAAAGGCAGGAGACAAATAAGATGCAGGAAGGAGGCTCCCAGCTGCAGTACAACTTTGCATCAGCAGAGTCAGTGTGTGTACTTAGTGGGTGTTAATAGGTTTCGCCTGGTGCTGCAGCAAACACAGGGTTGAACTTTAACAGAGACAAACCTGAAACAGAAACTTATCTGTCACTGGTGGGTGTATCCAGGAAACAAAGAATATTCCCAGAATCACCGCAAAACTCCTTGAGCCTATGGGAACAGCTTGCCTGCAGGAAAGAAGGCCCTCTCCCTTCTCCCCCAGCCTTTGTGCTGGGGCTCCGGTCACACTGTCTGAACCTGAAGCCCTTCCTTCAACTTGAGAGAGCTTTGAGGTGGCTCTGATCATTCCGCATTAGGGGAAATGCACTCTGTACATGCTGGGAAGCACTCTTGTATCACTTAGATTAAGCACTACTCTTTCTCCCATCTCATCTTCAGAGAGACCTTCCTGCAAGAAGCTGGACATCACTTGGCCCCCTCCAAGCCCTTCTGAGACTTCCCAGGTGAATGGCCTCCATCAGGTAACAGACACACCGGCCACTGTTATGGCCCATACTTTTGACTGGCCATCTTTGGCCATGCTTAGGAACACTCCAGCTGGCTACATGGCCAGCAACACCTCCTACTCCCAAACGTACATGAGCGGCAAAGAGTTGCGATGAAAGCAGAATGCAAAATAGTCCACGATGTATCACTGCGAATCTTACTTGCACTTCCATATGTGCAGCAAGGAATTGGCAGGCAGGCAGGGACATTTGATATTAGTGCATGTACATAACAAAGCAAAAAAGGCAAATCAGTGTTCAAATGGATGGCCTTACAGAAACAACTGCCTTGGAGGGGTCAGGCCAGAGTTGCGCATATGTGCTCTGGCCCAGATGCCTCCTGACTGACTGACATGAGATCTGCCATTGATTGAAAAAAAGAACAAACCTGTAGGGGGTGCAAATCACAGATCTCCCATGACCTCCTTACTCTCCTTTGCTCCCCTCCCTGTTAGGGAGATTGGAAACTCTCATGCACCATGTCAGAACATGGGTACTTATAGCTCAGCACTGTTTATATCAGGCTTCCCCAACCAGATGCCCTCCAGATGTTTCAGACAGCGACTCCCATCATGCCCAGATGGCATGCTATGGTTGGGCTTTTTTGCTGTTGTCACCATATCCTACTGGCAACTGAGCAACTTGACACTGTATTAAGAACATATAGCAGAAGATATAGAAAGGCAGAGAGAAAAACACCTTGTGCGAAAGGATGTTCTTCCTTCTACAAAGAAAACGGAAGCAGCAGCCTTGGTAAAGCACTCGGTTACATGTCTCAAGTCTCATTCCTAGCGAGGCACAACGAATGGGTCCTGAAAGAGATTGGGACGCTGTTCAAACAGTGGGGCAGGACAGGGACACTCGGCCCCCTTTCTTGAATGGCAGCTGCCAGGCCACCTGTACGATGGAGAAGGGGTGAGACCCGTTCAGTAATAATGAGGAGGAGCTTGCATACTTCATATGGGGCGCCCTTGTCCTTCCCCCATAACTCAAGCAGCATTTCTGGTGCCCAGAGAGGGGAGCGTTGGCTGCCTCCAGTTAGCCCAGTGCAAAGGGAAGCTCCAGTGCTCCTGCCTCACTGAGGTAGCTTGAAGCAGCGGAGGAGCTGTTCCCACCCTGCCCTTAGGTTTGTGGAGGAAATCTTCCGGGCAGATGGCGCCAAAGGGGTCAGATCTGCAGCAGGCGCTGCCGCCCTTCATGGCAACATGAAGCCCACAGGCAGTGGAAACAAGGTGTCGGCTCTCTGCTCCTTTGCATACCTCACCCTCCTTTTAACAAAAGATTTAATAGACTTATTGTGATATATTTGGATTTTGTTTCCTTTGCTACTGATAGTGAGAGGCAACTGACAGGACTTCAGCGATTCTTAAAGTTCCTTGTGCCTGATTTCATTTCGCAGGGCTGCAAATGCTTGCAAGAAATCCGCTGTTTGTTTCTTTTGCTTCCTCACTGATATCGTTATTAAAATACATACACAAAACCATTCCAGTTTTGAATGCCATAAGTCATTTTCCATTTCCAAGAAGCTACAACCATGCTTGCGCAAAAATATTATCTGGTTCTGATCAAGGTCTTCCTAGTCCAACATTGTTTCCAAGAACAGCAAGAAACTGTAGAAGCCAGTTGTCCACCAGAAAGTAGGTGGGCCAGTGAGTCACTGGTGAATCATGTTCTGCCTTTTGCCCACACCTGCCAAACATCACAGTGATTTGGATTACCTGGTAGCACATACCTACCTATTTCTGTGTCATCCCCTCCTTTGGGAAGTTTATTTGAGAAACTGAGTTGGCCTTCCCTAACGGGGTGCCCTCCAGGCAGGGCTGGGTATCCATGGCAGGCATAGCGGGCCCCTCACGCCAGCAAAGGCCCACTGGCAAGAGCCCCCCAGAGGTACTGCCCCCATCCATTCCAGCCTGCCTGCTCAGCTGCCCCCTGCCCTGGCCCACACAAGAGCTGTGGCATTACCATGGAGGAGCGGGGCCCCGCCAGCTGCCTCTGCCCGTCATGCAAGCGGGACGATGGGCAGGAAGAGCAGCTGGTAGCCATGGGAGTAAGAGGCTAGTCCTACAAGGGAGGAGGGGGCACTGAGGGCTGTTGGACTATAGCCCCCATCATCCACAGCCACTGATGAGAAGAGTGGCAGTCCAACGTTTCTGGAGAGTGCCTGGTTGTGGAAGGCTGGCCTACACTTTCCAAAGGAGCAATCTTCCTTTGCACCAATCAGAATAACACAATCTCTGTCTTCATCTATGGATGGAGGGCAAAAATGCCCCAGTGAGTGACTCTTTTGTGACATGAGGATGCATGACAGACTGCACTTTCATTCTCATTGGTGGTGGCAGGTTACCAGTTAGAATTTTTGCCTCGGGCATTAGAATGCTTTGTACATCATGAAGACTGCAGTACTAAGCACACTAACTAAGGAGTAAACCTGACTGAACACATTGGGTGAGCTTCCAAGTAAATGTGTACAGGACTGCAGTGCTCGGACTTGCAAATTTGCATGGCCACAAACTATCACAGAATGTATACTGCAGTTTAAACTAGTAGATCCTTTTCAAAGCAATGTGTCTTCAGCAGTGCATGAAGACATTTAATTTGCACCAGAGGAATAAAAGGGGGGAATCAGGGATTGTTGTATACGTTCATTTAAAACCATCATCAAAAACAGACAAAGAAAGCATTTGTCTGTTCCCCAAAGACTGCACAGATAAAAACATTTTTGACTGGGGTTTTAGGTCTGGGATCTAGCACCATGGATCTCTGAATAATCCTCTGGGCCCAAGAGAACAACCTGGAAGCAAGGGTTTTTCTGCCACAGGCAAAACAGAGTTTCTGCTTAAGCAAGAGTTCTTCCTGGCAGAGAAACTGATGCTGAGTCGTCTCCCTAATTGGAACCAGTCAACCCCAGTAAGGCCTCCTTCCTTTCTTCCATGTGCATCTGCAAGAGAACACCCCACCCCCAGCCCAGCTTTCCTGCCTATGATTTCCGAATCCCCCACAGACTCTTGCTCACTTCTCCTTCTCCTTCTCTCTCTTTTTCCATCCCCCCACATTCAACCCCACAGCTGGAGAGAAGCCCTCGAATGTTTCGTCGCCAGCGGAGTGCCTTAATTCAGCGCTGGGAGTCAGGGGCTGTTGGCAACCAGGAGAATCAGGATTAGAGGTGGCTGCAGCAGAAGAGGCAGTGAGCTGCACCTCCAGGGATAAGACACAGAGACACCCTGATGCTGAACATGCCACATGAACACACCACTGGAGCCAATTGTGTATTCTTTCCACTCAGCCTTTTGATTGGCAGTTGTTTCCAAAAGCTATCTGTACAGCCTCTTGGGTCAAAGACAGAAAGAAAGCTCTGCCATGCCCCATATTTTTACTTGGGACAAAGGGGGGAGACCAAGGGGCAGGCTCCAGAGCATGGCTTACGATTCTTATTAGTTTCCCCTTTCACATCTGGATGGACCGATGCTTCATCTCAAGTGCTTTCCACACCCAGGTTTTTGGTTGGGTTTTCTTAGCCTAGACCTGTATGGGCATATATATACTTTAAGCAAACTGCTGTCCTATTTTTGGGGCCATGCACTTTCTCCTTGTTGGTGATTCATAAGTGGCCACCCTAGGCAAGCTGCAGAGGTGGTTTAGGTGCATGTGTATACGTGGAAACCGTGCCAGCAAGACCTCTCCCTGTTGCAGCCTGGTAGATAATTGATTGCAAAGGGCTAATCGTCTTATGTCAGAGCACCAGTTCCTATAGGACCATTTTGTCCTCAGGGGTGCCCATATCTGACATGTCACGTGTTGGTTTTGTCCCTGGGTATTCATACTCATATAATAAAATTAAAAAGTCTCATAGGAACCAGCCCACAAACAGGTTATTATGCTATACCATTTCACCAGGCTTGAATCATGGCAAATATTTACAACCCCAGAGCTGCCCTTTGGAGTATGCTTTGCCACTGACTTTTTCATTCAGAAGATAAGACTGCCTCAGTCAAAGGAGATGCCTCACTTTTTCATGCCAGCAGATTTTTTAAGTCTTCCAAGTAGGAGTGACTCCAAATTACTGCCTTTTGTTATGTGCTACAGGAAGAATGGAAAGAACAAGGCATCTGTGGAGTACTTGTCCCCTCAGTTTCTCCCACCAATAAAATAAAGAACAATAGACATTCCCCAGAGCTAGTAGAAAGCTGAGTAAAACCCATTTCAGCAGAACTCTGTTGGTTTGCTTATTTGTTTTAAAGTCAGAAGGACAGTGCAAGGAGAAGCTCAGACAGGCTTTGGATAACACACCAAAGCTCAAGCAGCTGTTTGTAAATAAAAATTCAACCATATATTACTTTCAAAAGATCGTTATATAATGATTGTGAAGAATGTATTCTTGGCTACAGAATTCCACTTTCTATGAATATGAGTTTTCCTTCTTTATGAAAAAGAAAAATCAGGGAAAAAATAGAGCCCTTATGGTTACAAAGATAGACTCAACATTGTATGGGCAAGATCTGCTGAAAGCTCAGAAGCAGGAATAATTGTTTAATAGAATTTCCAAGGATCACATGGAGGGACTAGTAACTGTATGGCCTTTCCTATAATTCCCAGGACAATAAATTGTGCAGAACAGCAACAAATGTTTAAAATTTCAGAATAAGTGTGCCAAGTATGAAAAAAATACTCACAATTGCTTGAATTACATAATTAAATTCAACTTTTATTTTCATTGAATGTGAATTACTTTCATATACATCTGTCCTATTTTATAGCCCCCTATTTGAAAACCTTTCAGAAGATGATCCTCTATTGAAAGCATTCTTTGTATCAAATAGTCCAAATCCAGTTTAAGATCGAGGACCATGAGAAGGTTCCCATCCTGAACATGGGTCCTGAAATTGGGCATACAGGTCACTCCCTTACAGTTGTTTTCTTCACTCAAGTAAGGGCATGCATTTCTACTTGAATTACAGCTGTTGCTTCTGTGTATGTGTGCATGTGCACTCATGCACATTTTATGCACATCTTCACCCTCTTTTGACCTCTGTTTTGGTAGTCTGCCTAACTTCAGAGGAGCAGGATGAATCCCTGAATCTCTGGATCTAGATGCATTGCAGCTGCAGAGCAGTCTCAAGTTGCCTTTTCTCATGTCCCTTCCCCCTGCCTTTTTTGCCACATAAAGTGTGAAGGAACATACACCACCACCATCTGCTCCTCTTGGTCATTTTTTGTGATTGACTAGAGGTGAGTGCAAAGGGGCTCCCTGCCTGGCTGCTTGGAGATCACAGAGGAAGGTACAGATGACTCCGTGACTAGCACTGCTACTACTGAGTTGGGCGCTGGCTCCTTGCCCCCTGGGGTCTTCTCTCAGGAAGCCACTTTGGCCTAGGAAGGAACAGGAAGCAGGATGGTGGAGGAAGAGAACACTGATGCAGCGTGCTGTCTCTCTGGCTTCTTCCGTGGGACCTTGGTGCAGCACGGCTGAGAGAGCCCTGCATGCTCTACTGCAGATGGCAGGGTCAGTCAGGCTGCCGGCTGCGAGAGGCCCAAGCTGCCCCCACCAGGGCCTGGATGGCTGGGTGCTTCCTCCTTCAGAAGGATGAATCTGGGCCAGACCTACAGAGAGTGCCATGAGTGGGACTAACAGGAGTGCTTCCTCACCTCCTCTCCTGATGGCAACCCTCCTGTCTGCTGCCTCACAGTCCATGCATCCCAGGTAACTTGGTAGTTGTTTGGCAGCTCAGAGAAGTTTTAGAAAGGCATAAATCAATGGCTGCTTTGGCCAGAAGCTGAAAAAGGGCAGCCAGGGACAGGGGACCCTTGCTTTGTGAGATATTAGGGATGGCAGTACCGATAAGCATCCTTCCTGTTGAGGTAGGTATCACACTCTGCACATGCTCAGCAGCATCTCCAGTGGGCAGCGTGCAGCTACCTGTCAACTAACAGCTGGAGGTTTGGTGGAGGGGCGTGCAGAGCTGGTTCCTTTCCTCCCTCCCTTTTGTCTGGGCAGCCGTGGAGCCAGCTGCACACTCCTGCAGTCCTACAGGCCTTAGGTGTGCTCAAGGCCGCCACCCCCCTCTTCCAGCCCCTTTGGGCGCCCTGGATGTGGCAGCCTGGCTGGCCACCTTCTCCTGCCTTCAACGAGGTGCCTGCGCTTGAATTGGGTGGGGAGCACGCTGCTCACAGCTGGCGGCTGCCCCACTCGTTCCTCCTCATATTGCTTGGAGCAGCCGGAGGGAGCATGGAGAAAAAGGGCGTGCGCAACATGTCCCTCGAGACCCAACCTTTTGGAAAAGGCGAGGAGAGGAAAGGTTACAGGCACTCCTTCTATTGTTTTACTTTAAATGTATATTCTCCTTTCCAAAAGAATGCTTGTAAAATAAATGTGTTTAGCAACAGGAAAGCAGTAACAAATTCTATTTTAATCCCAAAGACATGGTGGTGCTATGACTTCAATGAGTTTAAAATGCAAAACTGCACATGCTCTGAGTACATCTTTTTAAAATCAGTGTTGGCAGATGTTGCTGCTAGAGTTGCTAAAGTAGAAATGCAGGTGTTGAAATCCTGCTTTCCAGATCTTATGTGCCCTGTTGAAAGCAGTGGGAACTACTTCTGCATAAAGGGGTATATGGTTGTACTGTGGGGACAACAGGATTCCCAGAAAAGGCATCTTGAGAATGAATGACAGGCAGGCAGGTGAGCAGCAGCACAAATACAATGGCATATTTGATATCCTTTCTATAATCGTTTTGCAGAAATTTGTAGGATGGAGAGAAGGAGGCATCATAGAGACATGTCTCTGGAAAATTCTGGGGTGAAAAAGGTAACTGAGATGTGCAGGAAATGATGCAGCACAGAGAAAAAAACCCAGAAAAACCTGGCAGTTCAGATAGATCTGTGAGTGGGGTGATATATTCAGGATTGATTGCCTCAAATTCACTATGTAATCCTAATCATATTTAGCTATTTACTTTGTACTTGGATAGAAATAGTCTAACAAATACCAGGGCAGATCTTCCATGACCTTTGTAGCACAGGCACAATAGTATGCAGACACAAATGTGGTTTTCTATACATCCCTCCTAAAGTCACATTTGTATGTATGTCGGATCACACGAGTAAGCCAAATGTTTGTCTCAATATATGTATATATTTTAACTTTCTGTCCATATAAAACACTTAAGAAACACTTCCATGGTCACTGAAACATCTTAAACACAATACAGCATTGCAATAATGATAACAATACTGTCATAATAAAGTAACCACAGAAACGGGAGAGAGAGAGAGAGAATCTGCATGGATGGGTATAAGTATACAGTATTGTAAAAAAAATACTGTAAAAGAAGCAGTTAAAACAGTTTAGATCATTCGTGACGTAACATTAAGCCCTAAAATTAACTGATGATGGACCTGGTGCTCTAGGAGAGTCAGGGTTCAATTGTGCTGCTGGGGGAGGGGGGCAGGGTGGCAGGTTAGCACTGGAGTCACTTTCTTGAAATAGGCCTCAAGGGTTGTTTGCACAGCCATTTTCTTTTCCTCACCATAAAAGGCCTTTTAGCAGCTGAGGGCCTGGTTACAAGGGCAAATGCAAAGGAAAACCAAAGGGGAACTATGCACCCTACACTTGTCCTGAAACACACCGGCTTGGGTACGTTCAAGCTGATGCCACAGAACGAAAAGCCTGGAATACTCCTATCTCTGGGGAACTAGAGTTGATGAAATATCTGATGACACACTGATATGTCGCGTAGTTCCCTAGAGATATTCACTTTTTTGTGAGTGATATTCATATAGCGTTTATGGCAGTCCTCGTATTCCTAAGTATGGGTTGTTCATAACCGGAACCTTCATAACCTGGGACAACCAGTATATTTGTATTCATTCCATAGAGGGTTAGTAAAATTAAGTACCAAAAGTAAGTAGTATGCAAGTTTTTGAATTCAGGAGAACCCTGTTCCAGACTGGATATTAAGCATGAGCATGCATGTCTGTACATAAACATGGAGCAACCAAACAAACAGGAAACCATTATCACAACAACAAAACTAAGGGAAGGGAAGGAGGTGAAGTTGCTAGACATGACTGAAGCCCCAGCTTACAGTTTGTGACAGTGCTAAGACTGAAAGCCGGAGGAGCTTTGCAGACTTACAACCTGCTCTCACACACATTTTCTTTAGATTGCAACCATACACCTACTTGCTTGGAAGTGAGGCCTACAGAAGTCTTTGGGACTGGCATGTGGAGGATTGTGCTGCTGCATTGTGTATAGTGTAAAATGATCACAGGCTGCAGCAAAGGATGCTGGAACTCAGAGTGTCCACTCTCCTTTTGAAAGTATTAACAGCCAGCAGCTATTCAAATCTGAAGAACAAAGTGTGTGTGTGTGCGGGGGCGGTAATTATTTGTCCCACTTAGGCTGCTGCAACCTGAGATCTTTCTACATTAGGCACAGTCAAAGTCTCCTCCATTAGATTTTAGGATGATTATACACTTGCTGGATTTTTCATGGGGTTAATTCCATGAAACTTTCAAAATATTAGGTGAAAAATGGTATCCTCCAAATAACTGCCTGTTTAAGCAGTAAGTGTTGCTGGATGTTTCTGAGGGGCAGCGCTGCTGTAAATAATGACAGCCAGACCTCTGTGCCTTTATCTATCCTTGCATTTCGCCAAAGGTGCATTGTTATGGTGAGTTGTATTATAGACTCCCGTGTGCTTCAGATGCCAGTGCAGGACAGCACAGCTACTGCAGGGGAAATAAACTGAACGCAGTATATAGCAGGCTGCATATACACTGTATATATGGGGCTGATAGCAGGGCATCACCACCTGCAGTTGCAATGGCTTAACCAGCGAAACTTGGGGCGAGCACTGGGGTGTTCCCAGGTCAGGGGAGTGTTCTTTCCTCATCTGTGAAACCTGCGGAGGATTGGCCCCACTCCCCGGGCAGCAACTTAGACTTTGGATCAACATCATGTTCCGAAGTTGAAAGGGACATGCAAGAACAGGCCAGAATTGTTGCAAGTTGAAGGAGCCTTCCTGGGAATTGTTACCTGGTGCGTGAGGAGCAGAGCACACTGCGCTGTTGCTTCCTTTGTGCTTGATTTGCAGCCAGAGAAAGGCCTGGAATGCTTCCCATAACTTGCCAGTCCTTTTGGCCTTGGCTCTCAAGGGTGGGAATTGGGAGAGGAATCAGGCCTTGTGACAGTGCGGTGTTGAGATGGTTGAATGTTCAGTTCCCCTTAAAGGAAAAGCCTGTCTTTCATCCAGCCTTCCTCAACCTGGTGTATTCATAATGTATTGGACTACACTCCCCATCATCTCCCAGCCAGCACAGTCATGCTGGCTGGGGATGACTGGAGCTGTAGTCCAGCAAATCTGGAGGGGACCAGGGTGGAGAAAGCTGTAGTCCTTAATTTAAGGAGAAATAAGGATATCTGAGCAGACAGGATTTTTCCAGCTACTCATCAAAGGAAACACTATAAATACCCAGGGTAAATGTTTCTTCCCAAACTCCTATTAATTGAGGAAACATGGATGCCGAACTAAGGGTATTTTATGGGAGAATCAGTGGATGGAAGAGAGAGGTGCTCTGTCTCTCTTACAGGTCAGGCATGCATCCTACTTTGCAGAGGACGGTCCAGAAAAATGCTGGTAACAATAGTTTCTGCCTCAGGTTTCTTTCTCCAGCTTAAGAACTAGTTGTTGTTCATCAGATCCAAGCACTTAACCACAGGGTACATTTGCACATCATGCCAACCCATCCTGGCAATATGCCACGGTGGGTTGGTCTGCAAACAACCCATAGTGCATCTGACAGATGATCAGGCTAACCATGAG